GGAGAGGGTGAGCGGTGGATGGGTGGAGGGCGCAGCTGTGGGCGCAGCCAGGGCCAGGCGAGGGCTCGGGAAGGCTGCCGAGGATGCTGTCACACTGTCCCATCCCACTCCTCCCGGACCACAGGGACAGCTGACGCCCCCGCCCGCTCCAGGGCTCCGGCCAGGGGGCCAGGAGGCTGGGGTCTGGCTTTCCAGTGGCATCGCCCCCTTCAGCCCCGGCAGCCAGCCCCACTTCCCTCCTCAGATGATTTCGTGAAGAGGCGCCTTCGGTGGAAATGAACTGAGTTGAGTCTTGGAGTCCCGCCAAGACTTCGTGTTCTTCTCCCTGTGCGATGGTCACTTTGCACGTCCCACTGATCATCCTGGTTTCTCTTCACAACAATCCCATGAGGCCGAGAAGTCAGGGGTGATGATGATGACATGGAAAGGCCGCTGACCTGGAGCAGGGGTCCCGGTCCTCCCAAGAATCCTCTCGGAACTCGGGCCATTGATCAGAGTCTCCACCGCAGGCGTCGAGGTGACATGCGGTGACGCTCAGATGAAAAACTAGGTTGAGAGAGTTGCCATCTGCTTCTGGCAAGTGACACGCATTTCATGTAAGTTCCTACATAAAAACGTGTACATATACAGTAGATTTAAATGCAGTATTAAGTAAGAGACTAGAACGTATGGTGGAAATCACGAGGGAGTCTTGGGAAGAATGTTCGGGAAACAGTGAGGGAGGAACTGAACCCCTCGGCTCCCCAGTTCCGGATCCATCGGGCAGGCCACTGCCAGCCTCCCAGAGTCACTGTGGGATTGAGTCTGGCCATGAAGAGGGGAGGGCAGATGCTGCTGCCCACATGGCGGGGGTTATCATTTTATTTTATTTACTTATTTTTTATCCTCACCCGAGCACATTTTTGCATTTATCTTCAGATAGAGTGGGAGGGAGGAAGAGAGAGAGAGAAACATCCATGTGAGAGAGACACATCGAGTGGCTGCCACCCACACCATCCCAACCAGGGCTGGGAACAAACTGCAACCGAGGTACGCGCCCTTAGCGGGAACCGAACCCGGGGCTCTCTGGGCTGCGGGCCGACGCTCTAACCGCTGAGCCAAACCGGCCAGGGCTGGGGTTATCATCTTACAGACTCAGAACCTGAAGCACAAAAGGTTGGTGAATCTTCGGAGTCGTGTGGCCGAGATGGGCAGCCTGAGCCCGGCCAGGTCTCAGGCCACGGCAAGGGGCTCCCCACAGACCCCGGGGGGTGTCTGCTGGCGTCCAGCCCTGGTGCAGGGGGGCCCAGCCTGCTCTCAGCTGCAGCGAGAGAGCTGACGTTTGCCATGAAGACACATTTCCGAACTAGACATTTGGAGGCTCAGGAGGGGCTGGGAGTGGGAGAGGGATATGGGTGGGTAGGTGGATGCTAGGAGCATGGGGAGACTGTGGCCTTTTTCAGGAAGGATCCCCACCACCATACGATACGGGAGAGAGATGCTCACGGTGCAGAAAGACGCAGGAGCCTGTTAGCTCTGTTCACACTCACACTAGGTTGGGTGTGATTTGGGTCCCCGTCCTGAGGAAGGACCGAGGCTCTGGGAGGCTGGAGAGGGCGCCATACCCTCCAGCCTACAGATCGGAATTTAGTGCCGATAATTTCCAGTTCGGGGTCTTCTCTGATGTGGCCCCTCCTTGCCCCCCCCCCATCTCTCTTCTCCCTCTTCTGTCCCTGAGGCAAGAGAAACCCTGGATCCGAGAAGGTCCCACGCTCTGGGCAAGGCCGCAGCTTGCCCCTGGCTCTTTCTCCCGGGGTGACATCATTCCCCCTGGGGCCGGGAAAGGCAGCTGCCTCTCAGTCACACGCAGCTGATGCTCCTGCCTCCATTTCCCTCACTCGGACTTTCTTCTTCATTCTCACCCTTCAGTTCCGTGCTCCACGGCTGGCCGGCCGGAGGGTGCCAGGCTTCCTCTTCCTTCCCTCTTGTCCCCGTGTGGCGGGGGTAGGGAGGAGGACAGGATGAGGGGTGCTCCTCCTTGACCGGACCAGGTGGATGCATGGAATCCGGTCATTACTATGCACTGGGTTCACTGAGGGAGAATGTTCTGGAAGTTCTTAGGAAGACTTAAATTAAGATAACAGCCCCAATTCACCTTTAGGCGACTCATCGTAGCACAGTAGCTCACCCGTCTCCTCCAGAGCTGAACGAAGCAGGGAGTCTTATTCCTGTCGTAGATTATGGAGAAAGTGAAAAACAGAATGTAAATGGCCGGCCCAGATCACACAGCTGTTACCGGGTAGAGCTGGGATTGGACCCTGCTCCATTTGTCCCCAGAAGCCAACATCCTAAGCAATACAGAATCTCTTTTTCCACATGGGTGTCATTTCAGCTTGTTTACTTAAACGGGGCTGTTTACGGGCAGTCCTGAATTCATACCCACACATTCACTCTGGCTGGAGAACGGTACAGTGTCAGCATTATTTCCTAAGGATTTTTTCCATGCTGGAGGACACTGAACGGGGTCATTTCATTCCTCCCACTGCCCCGCGCTGGACCGTGGGCAGCCTCTGGAAGGCAGCCTGCAAGCTCAGACTCTGCCTCTTGGAGAAATGAAACCCTGAGATCCGTCCCCGACTCTCTCCCTGTGTAGTGAGGTACTGTCGGAGGGCAGCAAGCAGCCTGGGGGATGATTTGGGGTATGCAGTGGTACTCAGTATATGCTTTATGGGTTCGGAGCAAGTGCAAGGTGCTGGTGAGGTTCTGGTCTCAGGCCCCCTCTCCATCGGGAGATGCTCAGTAGATGTTGCCTGAGCCGGGGAGCAGGGTGGGGACAGGAGTAGCGGGACCACCGGGAAGAACATTTTAAGCGTCGCGGAAGAGGCCTGAGTGGCACGGGCCATGATCAGAGGTGCGTGTCGCCTGACTGGACTGGTGGCTGGCAGGCCTTCTGGGAAGCTTCTGCATTTCAGAAGACGGAAAAGCAGATGTGAGACATCTGGGGACAGGAACGGGTGGTTGGGCAGGAAAGCCAAAAATGAGCCTGAGGTTCCAGGTTGGGGTGAGGAGGAAAGTGGTATGGGGGAGGGAGGGATCTGGAAGTCAGAGGAGCAGCTGGCCGGGAGGGGCCTTGGTGAGTTAGGCTGGGGGCGTAGTGTCTCTTCTGACTCTGCTGTGGGTCTTCCCAGCTCAGCTGAGGAAAGGGTCAGGGTGGTGGAAGCCGAGGTCCGAGCGAGGGGCCACCAGTGACTGCAACCACGCCAGGGGTGGTGTCTCTTGCTGCGTGCCCAGGCAGTTGGCAAATCCCAGGCTGTCAGGGCCCCGGACCCCCACTTCTTGCCCTGCCTTGGGGAGTGACAATGCCCACTCAGCACAGGCTTCTTTGCCCCCAGAGACAGTCAGTTCAGTGTCTATTTGTGCGGCTGGCTCTGGAGATCCTGCCCCCGCTCCCCACCAGGGCTGGGGTTGGTGGGGGTGGGGGGGGGTTGCCCTGAAGCCTTGGGGGGTCAGCTGCCAGAGCAGCCCTGCAGAGCCTCTGTGCCTGTCCTCTCAAGCCCTCCACCTCCACCCAGTGGACTGAGCTGTGTGCATTAGGACAAGGCTGGGAAGTAAGACGATCCCCACGGGTCTCTGGGGGGCTTAAGAAACAGATGGTCCCCGCACAGAAGGTTTGCTGCTGGTAACCTGAGCAGATCTGGGAGGGAGCTGGCGGACCCAGGCAGCTTGGGCCCGGGGACTGGAACCTCATGAATGTTATCAGACCAAGCATTCCCTGCCCAGCCTCCAAACTCGGCCCTCACCCAAATAAATCTCTCAGCCCCTTCCAGCTGGCACCTGGGACTCAGGCCTTAGACACCCACAGAGGGGCTGGGGAACGGGCCCCCGGAGCCCCCACTCTTGGCCGGGGCAGCAGTGCCACGGGGGCCGAGAAGGTCGGAAGCACAGGAGCCAAGTCCGAGGGCAGCTGGAGAGGACAGGTGTCCGGGGAGAGCAGGCCTGGGAAGAGCTGGGCAAGGCTTTGTGCAAACAGGAGCTCCTGCCTCCTGACCTCTCCCCTGACCAGCCAGATGTGAACAGCGTGCAAGGAACCCCAGCCCGCCCCTCTCACGGCAGATCTGAGCTCTTCCTCTCCCTGTGGGGCGCAGAGAGCCTTCAAGCCCAGCCTCCCGTGCTTGGTAGTCAGGACTATGGCATTTGGAGAGACGGGCTGTGTTTGAGTCCAGCCCTGTGAGCTGTGTGACCTTAGGCGAGTTACTTCACCCCATGGTTCACTCATCTGCTCAAATGAGACGGATAATATAGAAAGATGAAAGGAGATGATGCGCATCGAGTCCTTAGCAACCTTCTTGTTATAGTTCAAAGTGTCATTGTCCTTGTCACTGTCAGCATCATCTCACGGAGGCTCAGAGGAGGAAGAGGGCACAGACACAAGGAAGGACAAAGACGTTCCGTCCACACCACAACTTGGCACAGCCTCACGCTGATCTCAGCTCACCTCTTGCTATGTCATCTTGAGCAAGTTACCTACGTGCCTCCGTTTCCTCATCTGTAAAATGGGAACAACAGTAGTCACTCCCTCACGGAGTAGTCGGGAGGTTAAATATAGGTTCATTTACACACATGCGTCTATACGTGTCTCATGGAGTGTAGGGCGGCGCCTGCCGTACCAAGTTAGCCGCGTGAATGTTACCCCTTCAGCGGCCATCCCGGTGTCCGCCTCTCCCACCTCTGGCCTGCACTGGTCTAGGGTGCGCGGACGGGGGTCACTGGAGGGTGTGTTGGCTCACTGGTCCGGCCTCCTCTCTCCGCAGATGTCCATGAAGGAAGTGGGCGATGGCCTGCACTGGTCTAGGGTGCGTGGACGGGGGTCACTGGAGGGTGTGTTGGCTCACTGGTCCGGCCTCCTCTCTCCGCAGATGTCCATGAAGGAAGTGGGCGATGGCCTGCACTGGTCTAGGGTGCGCGGACGGGGGTCACTGGAGGGTGTGTTGGCTCACTGGTCCGGCCTCCTCTCTCCGCAGATGTCCATGAAGGAAGTGGGCGATGGCCTGCAGGACCAGATGAACTGCATGATGGGGGCGCTGCAGGAGCTGAAGCTCCTGCAGGTGCAGACAGCCCTGGAACAGCTGGACATCTCTGGGGGTGCGCCTGCCCCAGGCTGCCCTGAAAGCCCCCGGACACAGCTGGAACCCCCTGAATGGGAGGGTGTCAGAGGTCCTGCCAGGCCTGCTGTCCCCTCCCCCTCCAGCCAACCCTCGCAGGGGAGCAGCACCCGGAGTCCACCACATAGGAGTGTGTGGGGGAGGGATGCGGTCCCCCGACCCAGGACACAGCTGCCGGAGCACCAAAGCTGTGCCCACCAGAGGCCAGAGCTGGCGGAACCCGACGACTGGACCTCCACGTTGATGTCCCGGGGTCGGAACCGACAGCCTCTGGTGTTGGGTGACAACGTTTTTGCAGACCTGGTGGGCAACTGGCTGGACCTGCCGGAACTGGAGAAGGGTGGGGGCAAGGGGGAGCCGGGGGAGGCCGGAGAGGCGGCGGGGGGCAGGGGCCCGCCCCGGGAGCTGGGCCGCAGGTTCACGCTGACCGCCAACATCTTCAGGAAGTTCCTGCGCAGCGTGCGGCCGGACCGCGACCGGCTGCTCAAGGAGAAGCCCGGCTGGGTGACGCCCGCGGCCTCGGAGCCCCGAGCCGGACGCTGGCAGAAGGGCAGGAAGCGGGGCCATTCCAAGGGTTCCAGCCATCCCCCCTTCCCAGGCGTGGGGGAGCCCCGGCGAGGGGAAGGCGCGTCCTCAAGCTGCCCCAAGGCCCTGGAGGCCTCGCCCTCGCGCTTCGATATCAACACCGCCGTCTGGGTCTGAACCGAGCTGAACCCAAAGGGCCAGGTCCCGGTGGCCCGGGCGCAGGGCGCAGGCTGTGTGGCGCAGAGGCCCCACTCCAGGGTCCTTCTCCCCAGAAAAGAGAGTGAGGAGGCAGGTGTGTGGAGCAGACGGGCGGCCCGTGGTGGGGAGAGGCTGTGAGGGCTGCCGGTGGGGGTGGCAGTGTGTGTGTGGGAGGGGCAGGAAACCCTTCCGAGGCCCTCACTGTCCCCAAAGACCTCAGCTGAGCATTCTGTATGGATTGGGGAACGGGGCCTCAGGTTCCCCAGAGAGGCCCGGTAAAGACCGTATCTCTCTGGTCTCGTAACTGTCTGCTTCCCTGGCCAAGCGCAGCTACTACACGCCGCAGCCTCCGGGGGCGGGAGCTGCAGGGAGGCCAGTCCTACCCCACCTGTCCTGCTGCCTTGCGATGGACCCGCGCCTGGATCCTGGGAAATGGCTGGGGAAGGAGTGTAGATATGAAGAGTACTTGGGAGAGCCCCTTGTCTTTCCAAAAGCACAGGGAAGAGAATATCTGTAGCACCTTTAAACATCGGAAAGCCTTTTCATATCCATTATCTCCTTTGTAAGTGAGCAAGAACCCCACTGTCCAGATGAGGTGCTCCCTGTCCAAGAACACGCTGGGCGCCCCAGTCCAGGGCTGGCCGAGAGCAACTGGGCCCTGGAGTCACACACTCCTCTCCAACACCCCCCGTCCCAGGCCCTGCGCCCCCACCCAGGACACAAGGGCGTGTGAACTCTCCAGTGAAGCCCCGGCGGGCGTGCAAATTCCTTCTCCATCCCTGGCCTCACTGCCCAGGCACAGTCAACCTGACCCAGACCACCCCGGGTAGAGGGGAGGGGCCCAGGCAGCAGCTCAGCTCCTGCAGCCGTGGTGGTGGCACATGGCCCAAGAGCGGTGCCACCCCAGCCACCCCTGGAAGCCACCAGCCCACCTACTCTGCCTGGAAAGCTTGCTGGCTGGGAATAGACAATGCAGATCCCTGTTGGGGCCGAGCCAGCCTGGGAGGGCACAGCCTCCTTTCCCCTCGCCCCTCCTGCTTGATCTGCCCTCGGCCTGATGGGAGGTGACAGCTGCCATGAGAAGCAAGCCGCCTTCCTGCCCGGAGCACTCATAGAAAATTGGAGAAGAAAACTAACAAGAAAGGCCCTTCCTGCATCCTGGGTCCCCGGAGGTGATGGGGGGTGGGACTTTGAGTTCGAGTTGGGGCTGGTTAGAGTCACTCCCAAATTCCCATGCAGTCAGATGGTAGGTGTGTAGTTTTGGGCAGCGGGAGCTACAAGAGGAAAGGCTCAAACTGTTTGTTTTTTGGAGAGCCCCCGTTTGCCAGGCAGTATGCCTGTGTCCTTCAAGCTGCAGAACACCCCTGGAAGGTCTCCTCCTCCTCCCGGCAGACAAAAGCAGCAGGATTTGAAGCAGAGGTTGTCTGGCTCTATGACCATCTCTTCCGCTCTCTCTGGCGCTGGCCAAGGACGCTAGCCCTTCCTGGAGGACATGCCCTGGCTGTCCTGGGTCTCCGCGCAGGACTCAGCTCAGTGCTGGGTGAAGCCCGTCGGCTGTGGCTGCCCTCGCTGGCGGCGGTGTGTATTCGTGGAATGGGGAGTGTGGATTCCACCTCCTGGTTCCCCGAACCCTGAGAGCAGAATCCACCCAGCAAACTATTCAAGAAGGCACCAGCTCCAAGTCAAGAATGATTCTACAGGAAACCACGTGACCTCTTGGCCTGTGACTGTTTTTGGAGACCCGGCACAGCGATTCAGGCCAATTGAGCAGAACTTGATGCACACCTCCCAGTGCGATTGAAACTCGGATGAGAGCGGTGGGAAGGACCCGGTTCCTGACTCCAGGGGCCCCGTGGGAAGAAAGAAGCAACGCTAACCCACCCCCAGCCAGAGGATTCAAGGGAATGAAAACGTTTTAACCTGGGCCAGAATAAAACGATCAGGAGTGACGTTTGCTGCGACATCACGGACAGGCCCTTCCCACACTCCCCAGAAGTGGCTGCCGCTGTCCCCACTTCACGTGGAGAGGCTCAGAGAAGCAGAGCAACTGGCCCGGCGCCACAGTGGCAGAGCGGGGACAGTTCCAGCCTGAAACAGCCGGGCTGGGCTTCTCACGCCACCCCACAAGTTGTTCACATCTGCTCTGAGGCCAACAAGGGGACACCCCTAACCTGTCCTGAGTATCCAGGCATTGGCAGTTAGTGGGTCGCTGCCTTCGGTGGGGACACTTGTCTGGGTCCTGACAAGGCTGATGTAATGTCTCCTCACATGTCTTGCTTTGCTAATGAAAGCTTATGGCCCATTCATTTACTCCCCTCCACAATTTTTCCTTCTCCCTCCCCCTCTGGGCTCCTGCTGCGACTGTGACCATGATGGAGACCATTTTGCTGACACGGAGGGTGGACGCACTGGGCATGCCTGGGGCCTAGGCGATGCAGAAGAGCGTGGGGTGGGGAGCTGTGTGTGGGGGGCTGGGGCTAGTGGAAGTAAGCAGAGAGAAACCGACAGCTTAATTCTGCCCCTGGGGCTCATTTTATGGTTAATTAGGACATGCAAATAAGCTGGAAGCTCATCTAATACCCTCCCTGGCATGGGGCCCTACCTCACACCTGGCCTGCTTCCCTGGCAGGTACAGGGCCCCTCTGATTGGCCAGGCATCTGCTTGGGCCTCACCTGCTCCGTTGTGACCCTGTGGCCAGAGTCTGTGCCTGTCCGTGTCCCTTGACTATAAGCAGGAGCTGAAAGAGGCCTTCCTGGACATGACCGGGCCTGCCTGGTTCCCTCCTGCCTTTCTCTTTCCACTTCACACCTAGCACCCCTGCCCTCAAGCGCTTCCCCTGCACCCACCCTTCAGGTTGAGGTCTGAACCCCAACTTGCCCTGAGGACTAGAGATCTGGTTCAGGTCTGTCCCCACCCCATCCCCCTGCTCCCCAGAGCCCTGTTGGGAGGGGCTCCTCTGTCTCCCCAAGGCACAGGAACATCTGCAGGGCCCCATAAAAGCAAAAGCACAGCCTGTCTCTGGGGAGCAGGGGCCTGTGTCCTCAGGTGACTTCCCAACCAAGGCACCCAAGTCCTGCTAGTACCACAGCATGAGCACTGGGTTTGGAGCTGGACAGACAGGACGTGACACCCTGTTCTGTTGCTGGAGCCTGAGCCTGTCCACAGCCTCCTTCCTTTCATTGCTGGGACAGGGACAGTGCAGGGCCACTGTGAGTTTAAAGGACAAATGTCCTTAAGGGTCAGGCCCACCATCTATATATTGAGCAGAATATACTGGAGGAGCTAACCATGAGAACAAAGGCAAAAATGCTAAAAAAACAACAACTGTCTCTAAGCCTTGGTTTCTTCTGTTAAAAAATGTATACTGGCCCTATGACCTCACAGGATGTAGCCAGGATCAGAGAAGACAATAGGTGTGGACATGTTTTTGTATAGTGTAAAAATATTACCCAGAAGGGCTATTTGCCCATTTAGTTTTCCATGGAAGGATGCTGTGTGTGTTGGGGGTGGGGATGGAGAGAGCAGCTGCATGGGCTGTGCTCAGAAACAGGGCCTGAGGACCCCACTGCCTGAGGATACACTCTGGGGAACACCCCACCCCTCCTGCACCCCGGCTCTTCCTCACCGTCAGCCCTTGGAGCCTTCAAGTTTCTGGCAAGGACTAGAGTTGAATGAGCCAAGCCCTAATGGTTTTGGGAAGTCAGGCCCTTGCGGTGAGGCCTTAGTAGTTGGACTCCCTGCCAGGCCGCCATCTTTCCCTCTTCAGTCCTAGCTCCCTGGGGACTAATGGCCAAAAGGGACTTGTGGTTACCCTACTAGACCCGACTCCAGCCGAGGGGATGTGCAGCGTGGTGGAGGGAGGCATACACGAAGCCTGTCCCCCACAAGAGGTCTCAAGGCTCAGGCTGTGCTGCCCAAGGAAGGACAATGGGCTGGAAGGGACTACAAGATCCTGGGCTCACCTCCACCTACCCCTAACCCTCACCCTCACCCTCACCCTAACCCTAACCCTAACCTCCACCTAACTCTAACCCTAACCCTAACCCTAACCCTCACCCTAACCCTCACCCTACCTAACACTAACCCTAACCCTCACCCTACCTAACCCTCACCCTACCTAACCCTCACCCTCACCTCCACCTAACCCTAACCCTAACCCTAACCCTAACCCTAACCCTCACCCTAACCCTCACCCTACCTAACCCTCACCCTCACCCTCACCCTCACCCTCACCCTCACCCTCACCCTAACCCTCACCATACCTAACCCTCACCCTAACCCTCACCCTCACCCTCACGCTAACCCTAACCTACCCTCAGGTGCAGGGGCCCAACCTCACACTGAGTCTCCCCCTCGGCACTGTTACCAGCCATCCCCAGCCTCTCTTCTGCCTCCTCTAGCCAATCCTTAAAGCAAACAGGATGATGAAACCCCTGGTCGATTCCCTCTGAACTCGACAACTTCCGCCCCGTCCCTGTGCCCTTCAGTCAGTCCTGAGACAGCCCTCCACCCACCACCTCAGTCCCAGCACATCCTCAGACTCTGGCGTACACACACGTGCACACTCAGGCATCACAGTGAAGTCAGCCTTGCCAAGGTCCCGAAACTCTGGGCCCTGGGTGGAGAAGGCAGTGGGATCTCCGACTCTAGGTCTCAGGCCACAGGTGCCACGCATCCTGGATTCCACTCCACAGACGTCATTCCCTGAGTATGCCTGCATGTTCCAGGGACGTGGGACTCACCGCCAAAAGTGGTCGCCTGATGCTCATCGCCCCCCTCGCCACCACAACCCAGCTCTGGGCTGTCCACCTGCCCTTCTGCCCTCTCCTCTTGGAAAGACACCCCTGGTTTCCTCCACCTGGCACAGCACATGCTGCCGCCCCCAGCCTGAGGCTGCCCCCGGCCTCTGGGCAGCTGCAATGCAGGGACCGTGTCCCCATCTGAGGGAAGACCAGGTTTTGTTTTCTTGCTGTGCACT